TACTTTGTGGCGTAGGATGTCAGCAATCATATATTTTTGAATAATTCCTTCTTTAAAACGTCCTACACTTACGACACGCTTTCGGGTACATATTTTCACGCTATTAAACATAGTGTGAAAATAAATCGGAAAATACATTCACGTGGAAAAGGGACCATAAACTACACCCTGCCAACATTAAGGAAAAACGTTATTCATGCATTTGAATTTTTCTGACAAACATAAAATATAAATTAAGTAATCATAATTTTGTGCTGATGAAGACGCACAGGAACAACTAGTTTATTTTAGTTACTTAGTTTAGTTAACTATTCTATTTGCAGTTGGATTTCTTAGTTTTGTATTTGATATTATTATCTATAGCTATAATTATCTAATTATCTAATCAGTTCATGTTTAATTGGTTAGATAGAAATTGAAAGTGTGCGAAAGATGTCGTGAGAAAGTAGTCACATTGTGTGCAGATGAACGATGTTAGTTAACAGCTACACTGGATTATACGCTTAATTAATGCTGTCTGTCTATACATGTGTTTTTGAATAATTAACTATTGTGGTAGTTGAGTAACTGTTTTATAGTGTTACGAATCATGACGTTCTGTTCTTCCGTTTTTAATAACTATGTAATTTGGTTAAATTTTAAAATCATGTTGAGTTTTGATACGTTTTTTTACTAAAAAATAGATTCCATTTACGTTATGTGTCTTATATTAATCCCAATTAAGTACTAGAATGTTACAAGAATTTAGTTATTTTAATGATTTCCATTATACGTTAAGCTTTACATTAACATTGTCTGCACGAGTGTGAAAGGAATGTTTAGACATTTCTCGCTTTGAATGTTTATTCAATGGTTTAGTTTAGAATTGCAAATAGTCTGTTGGAGACATATTTTGGTTGTATCCCGATATCCTTGGCATAGTTATAAAGCTCCCACGCACACCCACTGAGTTACAAATTATTAACATGTTTATTGTTACAATGTTGGTAGTAAGCTATAAGTCGTTTTTAGTTACGTAAGATCTTTTATTATAAAATTAAAAGAAATCTATACTAAAAGACTCCTTTAGAATTTTAAATGATTTTAAGTTTTTTTAACAGGACATAAGGCATTGAATAGTTTTCTTTAGCAGGACTCAAAATAGATATTAGTTTTAGACTACTGTTAAAGATTGATTTAACTATAACAAAAAGGTAAATGTTAAAACAATTTTTTCACAATATTAGATTAGGTACCTACCGAAATAAGAGCCGATGATATTAAACCGAGTTTCCTTTATCTGTTCAATAAATGCGATATCACCGAAATACCAACGCTTGAAAGTATATTTCTATCCATATTTTGTATTTATTTACGATACGACATCAACAACGATAAGTACCATTGTAATAGAATGTACTAGACAGTTCGGAAACGAGCCAAAGATAATACCCTCCCACGTTGCGAACACAGCCCTTATAAGTGCTCACTTATAAACAACTAGCTTTCTAAATATGGTAGTGTTATATTATAGGAATAAAAGGTAAAGACGTGATTCCTTAAAGTGTACTTAACCGCGAACAATAATAGTACGGTATACAAAGTTGTACTACTAACGTTAAGTCTAAGTGACGTCATAGCTCTGAAGGCTCGTATTAATAGTGTTAGAGTTACCAAAAATACTTTATGACATAATGTTTGTTAGCTTAACGTGTTCAAAGCACGTCGGAATCAACACTGCCAGGATTATAATTCTAAATTAACCATTTATCATATAGAGGCACGCTTTTGACCGGAAATGGCGCGCAGCTGACGTCCCGCTTCCGGCCGCCATTGCTGTCGTATCAAATGAAGCGTATTGTTTGAATCCCTATCCTTTGGTGATATTAATATGCGGTCATTGGACGTCAATTAAATTGAATGATTGTTTGAATATTATTATTATTATATTATTACTGTTTGAATATAATTATTTAGTAATGATGTTATTAAACATTTTATTGTCTTTTTTAGATGAGATTTGGGATTCGACTAATAATTTTATTAAATTAATATAAAATTTGAGATTTTTGTATTTCTAGGTTTACGTAGCAGTGATATTTGAGACTTTAAGTATCACTCAATATCTTTAACAAGAGCCGAGAAACGTTTATTTTGATGTTTAGCAGCCAGTGAGTGCGACCTTGCATATCGCATGACTTTAAATAAACATTGCATTAGGAATAATAAAGAAAAGGAGTGGTGTAACTTCTAAATTCAAAATATTGCATAGGGTTGCCACATATTTTTGAAAAGTATAAATGAAATTATTTGATTCACAAACATCTCATCGACCTGGTCTAAGCTATAAGTCGTCATATCCGAATTCTCCCCCCTCTTGCCCATGTCTTTTCACACAATCTATACAATTTCACCTGGTAGCCATCCACATTTAATCTTACAAGTTTTCTTCATAGACTCACAAATATCTTTGAATGAAAAAGATAAAAACCTCCTTGGCTACTGTTAATAATCCCTTTGATTGTCAAATAGATCTGTAATTATGTACTTTGTTTTTAATTTTAAGTAGAGTTACGAGTGCCAACCCTAATTGCAGGTTTGTTAGTTCAAAGATTGTTCAAGTGACGATAGATAAAACGTAATGTATTTGTTTTTAACTTTGTTTACCTACTTTGTATATTTTGTTTCTAAATCGATACTTGGAATTTAGGACTAACTTTTGCCCGCGATTTTGGCGCGGAATTATAATACTTCGTATAATTTAACTAAGTACGTATAACTAACTAAGTAAATTTTTATAATTTATTTTAATTGTATTGTAAACAAGATTTAAAATTTAATTTGATTAGACTACTTTTTATTTTCACATCATTATTTATTTTAGCATGGTTCGATATTTCTGGAGAACTAATCAAGAGATACAGATTGATGTACTCATATATTACTACGAAATGACACTACTTCCGGTACGATACATTCTACCGGATATACTTGTTCATTCACAGCAAGTGTTATGACTACGAGTAGATAAAAACCAAACATAGTGTTAGTTATTTTCTTCGATACATCATTGTCGTAAAATATATCTATGATAAGATTACACATTATCTTATAAAAAAAAACATACTAATATAATAAATGCGAAAGTTTAAATGGATCGATGTTTGTTAGAGTTTGTAGCCTAAACAGCTGAACGGATTTCCATGAAATTTGGTATAGATATACACGATAGTCTGGAAGAGCACATAGGCTACTCATTTTTTTTTAAATTCGACGTAGACGGAGTCGTAGGCGATAGCTGGTATATAAAAACTAAAAAGATTCGTTCGTAAATAATTTATTAATATCAGATAAATATAAAAAGTTCAAGTTTAAAAATGTTAATCTCAGGATGTAGGTGTCACTACCGCATTGCAGAATTCCTAATTATGAAAAAACTCCTACACGCAGGCTTCCTATATTTTTCTAACTAATTTTGGATGCTTTTTAAAGGATGCACGAATACATATGTAGATGTTTAAAATAACAGACGGTTTAAATAGATTTAAAGTCGAATACAATTGAAATACGATACTTTGAAGACAATGTTATTTGTTGTCTACTACATTGCTCGGGACTTTCTTCGCGTGAAATTTAAATTAATCAAAAATGACCTATGTTATTCATAGACACCTATCTAACGGTAAAGGAATTTTTAAAATCGGCACAGTAGTTTATTTCAATACGTACATAAATACAATTGTTTCCTCGTTATAATATGATTACCTATAGTTTCGTATAGGTGGAGTAATTTCCGGACGTTTCATTAAAAAAAAAACATGTCTGTTGCAGTATTATAACGGTATATTTGTTTAGATAGTTTTGTTATAATTTTTGATTTTCAATTGAATTCAATTATACATGTGTTTAAAAATAGTGTAAGTGTTACAAGAAAGAGTTATACTGCGTAGAACTGGTGTTAATCAGCTCAATAGAGTGTGAAGATATGTTAACTGAAACGGCCTTCAAATCGTTTGTTGATAGTCGTTTAATGAGATGGTATAATGTTGAAATGTATTACAAAAGCAAATAAATTAATTAAAAAAAAACACCATACAGTTTATCGGAAAGCTTACACCCGCGACTCCATCCACTTGAAATTAAAAAAATATATAAAACATAACCTATGTTACTCACTGACAACGTAGCTTTTAAATGGTGAAAAAATGTTTGAAATCGGCCCAGTTTTTGAAATATTTCATTACAATCAAAGAAAGTTTTCCTCTTTCTAATATTAGTATAGATAAACGAATTTAAATGTAGATATATTGAATAGGAACCTCATATTAACTGTTATTTTAAAGTCTCTATGAAGTACATGTACTTTCTTCAAATAGAGATTTAAGAATTGCGTAGACGCGACATAAAAATTGGGCCCTATTTTGGAATCATGTGTCTTTGATATTGGATATTTTTAATTCTAACGCAAAGTAATATTTAAGACAGATTCTAAGTTGGTCCTTTATAGGTATAATTTACGATAAGATTATAAATATGAATAAAGCATCGAAGTTTCCACGTATACGTAAGAGTTTCCCAAGAAATCGTCAAGTAAGTCATCGTGTTTGAGTAAATTGGGTCATGATTGTACTGAAAATTACTCATTTCCTAAGTGTGATAACGGAAGTAACCGCTTTATATTTACGCAGAACAATATTTTTTATATGACCGTTATGAACTAAAAAAAATACCAAGTAAAAGCTAATTGACCTAAAAATGAAATATATTCTTATACACATTTAGCCAAAATTATTTAGTGAGTAGTATTGATAACTTTACCAGGATCCATAAAAACTCTTTTATCTAACAGACATACTATATTTGTAAATTATAAGTGTAAAATATACATTCCTAATACGTAGCATAAGTGTTAATTGGACCAATAAAACGCTATTTGGCTTTTGACTCCATTCTAGTCATATTAACGATCATCCAGGCTTCACAGCGCCATCTATTATCTATTTAAGATATGATATACCGACCTTATAATTTAGTCCTTGAACATCTTCCTCCAGCGAGACATCAGAGTACATATCGTCCGCCGGTTCGCCGCCAGAACCGCACCCGGACGAGTTGAAAGACGACGACCGGTACAATTGGCTGAAACAATAACAATTAAAATGTAATTTAAATAATTTCCAAAGGATAGTTTATAGCGCCATCTAGGTACAGTTAAATAACAATTAAACAGCGCCATCTATTTATCTAACAGTAAAAGTATTACCCTGCACACATGAGCACAGTAAAAGAAATATAGATGGCGCTTATCTTACTTTTTTAATTGCAATTATTGATATTGTAATTCAAATAAAATCAATAAAATATCACCTTGCTAAGACATTGGAGCCAATTTGCCGCTTTCCCGAACTGTAACAAAATGTTTATAAATTAAAGATACTGTTTATTTGCATTTTGCTTATTTTAAACATCATTCTCATTAAGTTAATGTAAATAATTATAATAAGCTTGAGAATTTATTGGAAACAATTACTAACTTCACACTTTTTATGGGTATGAGAATTTGTGAAGACACGGATGTGTCTTCTATAAAGAATGAAAAGAATAACGTTACTTCAGATTTGCCTTTAGTCCACATTACATTTATTATAGTAATCAAGCTTATTAAATTAATATCTTATACTAGCTGTTGCTCGCGACTTCGCCTGTATTTCTGTAGGTTTTTAATGGTGAAAGTATTTTTGAAATCAGTTCATTAGGTTTTTAATACATGTAAAAATACAAATCTTTCCTCTTTATAATATAAGTATAGATTGAGAATATAATTTAGGCTAGTGAGAATAGGTTTAGTAACATCAGAGACAAAATAGATAAATAGATTTATTCAATTCTCCTTGCATATTTTGTTATAAAAAAAAACATTCTAAAAGTTGTAATCATCAAAATTAACATAAAAAAAATTAAACATTTGATTAAAAATGCAAATTTTAAATGCGTAACAAGCGTATGTGATGTATTCTTTAATTTCACACGTCTAATATTAATTTTCGTGTAGAAAGAAGGAAATAATTGTAGTTATAATGAAAGCGGACAATTAGAACATTTTTATGACTTGCGCGGCTTGTTACTAACTTGTAAGTAACTTGACTGTTGTGATGTTGCATAACTGTAATTTTGTAGCATAACATACGCCCATAACAAACAGGGTTAGTGATTGTCGTATTCAGAATTGCTAAGAGTCCCTTACGTACAATTAAAAAATGCTAGACAAAACAGTTTATTGAAAAAATGTTGAGTTTAAATTAACTTGTCGTCATAAATTTCTATCACCATAAGTTATTTAATTTTAACTTATACATTATATATACTTTATTATTATTATACAGAGGAAAGATTTGTATTTTGTATCGAAATAACTCAAACACTGCTTGGCCTATTTTAAAAATTCTTTCACCGTTAGAAAGGTGAGGTATCTGTGAGTAATCATACTTCATACCTAATATTATAAATGCGAAAGTTTAGATGGATGGATAGATGGATGGATGGATGGATGGATGTTTGTTAGAGTTTGTAGCCTAAACGGCTGAAGGGATCTCGATGAAATTTGGCACAGATGTAGAGGATAGTCTGGAAGAACACATAGGCTACTCGCTTTGTTTTTTTTAATCCGCGCGGACGGAGTCGCGGGCAAAAGCTAGTTTTACTAATAAAATAAAAAAATATGCTTTTTTAAATTTTTAGCAAACGTTATCACGTGTAAACGAGCAGTGTTTCGGTTATTGAGTCAACACTTACGACGTAATTAATACACAAGGACTTGTCAAAGACAACTTTATTAGCTGAAGGTTGGGCGACTAAGAATGACCGCGTGCGTGTCTAGAGTACACATGTGGATAACTGTCTCATATAATTAGGTTAGGATTATTGGCTAGTAATAATCGTTAAATTGGATGACTTATATTACAGTTTAAAAACGCGACTTTCAGATGGTGTTAGATACATTTATAAATTGACTAGCTTTCTCCCGCGACTTAGTCCCCGTGGAATAAAAAAACACAAAAGGAAGTAGCCTATGTGTTCTTCTAGACATGCTCTGCATCTATGTCAAATTTCAACGAGATCGGTTCAGCCGTTTAGGCTACAAACTCTAACAAACATCCATCCATCTAAACTTTCGCATTTATGATATTAGTTAGATTATAAGATACATAAGTTTGCTTTAGCCTCTAAGAGAATAATTTCCCTGTGTGAGAAGTTTAGACAAGTGATAATTTTGTTCAATTAAATCTTCGTTTCTTTTCTTATTTTGCAGAACAATTTGATTATTTTTTTAGTTAACAGACAGTTTAAATAAAATTTTAAAGTCAGCATGTTTAGCGTTGAAATGTAAACTAGAAGCACGTTTTTGCACAAGAAACTGTTTAGCGACATAAAATCTGATGAGGTAAGTTTACAACCGAGGACCGTTAAAATTTTAATTATATTTTACAGTTTTATGAAAGCAATGCAACGCTTATCTTTACGTCAAATCGAATTGCGTGCGCCTTTGTTACTACGATAACACGTTCCCAAAGAATTGAGAAAATATTTAAAAACTATAATAAATGACGTTAAATCACATTTACATTAAACTATTTAACTATTTTATTAAACATTTTCTGTAACAACTGATACAAAGATTTAAAAAGAACACCTAAATACTAATTACTTTAAAACATTTCAACATAACCTATACTATTATTATAAAGCGTAAACACACACTTCTTTGTTGCCTAAGATGTCAGCAATTACAGCATATTTTTGAATAGGTCTGTTTTAAATAAAAAGCTCTACAATTACGTCACGCTTTAGACTGTATATTATCACGTCATTAAACTTGGGGGTAAATATTTTGAATAAAAATCCTAATATGGGAAAGAGACCATAAGTTGCTGCCAACATCAAGGAAACAATTGTCATTTGTGCATTTGAATTTTGACAATTCAGGCAGATGAAGCCGCACTGGAACAGCTAGTATATAGAACAGCTTCTATACATATGATAAAAATGGAGTGTATGTAATATCATAAGAAAAATTCCAGATTTCGGAAAGATGATGTATTTGCGTTGTTGAAAACGAAAATCGCATTTAAAATTTTATTCACTGAAGGGTAGCTGACTTGGGCAAATTATAGAATACTTTTTATCTTAATATTGCGTAGACGAAGTCGCGGGCAACAGCTATTTGATAATATAATTATTGAACTTAGTAAATATTAGCGGCGAGTAAAAAAAATTAACTGACTTACGAGTACATATTTTTATTAGAACTATTAATTTTGGAACGAAGATTAATCAATCCACGCAACTATCACATTTGTAATTACCGATATTGGAAACATTGTTAATCTGTGTAATTTATTCTGTAATGCCAGGATTCTATAGGTCTAGAGAAATCGGTAGCGGCACAAATAACACATGGGTGCGCACGCGCCGTGACATTGTGTAAGAAAGTGATTGCGCGGGCTTAGACTAGCGACACTAAAATACAATTAATTCCTTTGTGTACATACATCTAGACCTGTGACTAGGGTCTATGAAAGACTCGTCTGGAGATACAATACAGGGAAATAAAGATGAGAGTTCAGATGTAGCAATGTAGTATCAAGGCGTTTGTTACAACGTTTAAAATTTGTACCAGGTTAAACACTTATGTTTCTGACAAATGATTTGCGCCAAGAAGCCTAGATACATTAAAAATAAGGATCATAATCAATCTATTTCAACACTAATATAATAAAGCGTAAACACAACATGTCACAATCACAACATATTTTGGAATAATTCTTTCTTTAATGAAAAACCCTACACTTACGACACGCTTTAGGCTATATATTTTCACGCTATCAAACTTAAGGGGTAAATAAATTGGAAAAAGACCATAAACTACAAGCTGCCAACATTAAGTAAGCAATGTTATTATGGTAACGGTAATTTGGACATTTGCAATTAAGAATTTGACAAATGTAAACAATAAAATAAAGTTTTTCTAATTCCACGCGGATGAAGCCACACCGGAACAGCTAGTTGATAATATTAATCATGTTTTAGGTTATTGCTAAAGAAAACTTGAACCCAAGTACTCTAACCTTCGACCTCAAATATGACTCAGGTATATTCGTACTATCACGCTAACTGTTAAACGTAGTTCCCACAAGTAGCAAACTTATTTCGTAACTGTAATTTACTGAAATGAAGCACTTGCACAATATCCGTAATATTTAAGGTTTATTTTTAAAGATCGACAAACATGCGTGAATATCTAGGTTGTTGTCGATGAAGTATTTTTGCAGTTTTCACTTTAAAATTAAATTATTTTACGGATACATAATGATATATTGCGGAAGCATATTAAATTCTTAAATTATTATATCCTAGAAAGTAAGAGTTGCATATTATTTATACAAAAGCTTTATTCAAATTTAATATATTTAGAAACCTTCATAACAGAATGCTTATATTAGAAAACGAAACCTAGTGAACATTACATTTGCCTATTTTTTTATCAATGATGACCCTTTTTCGCTTATTAGATACCTTCAGTACATCGCTTTCTATAGATATCGTCCTTTACATCTTACCAATATAAATGCGAAAGTTTAGATGGATAGGTTTGTAGCCTAAACGGTTGAACGGATCTCGATGAAATTAAGCATAAACGTAAAGGATAGTTTGGAAAAACACATAAGCTACTCACTTTTGTTTTTTTTTATTTACACGCGGACGGAACCGCGGTCGAAAGCTAGTTTGTATATAAGTCGCTCTAACAGTACTTATATAAACTTTTATTTTATTCAAAGTAACGGAAGACGAGTAATGGTATGTTCATAAAACCGTGCGCATTGTGTGAGAAATGATAGTCATGATTGATGATAGCTAGTACTGGCAAGAAAACAGGAACTTGTTAAAAAACCGTAATAAGAAAATCTGCACTAGTAATCTAGAATGAGATATTTTTTGTATGATGTTACAAAGCAATCGTGTAGCGTGATTCAAAGATATGCAAATACTGTATTTTGACAATGGAATTTAGGACTTTAATTGCTCGCGACTTCGCCTGTGTGAAATTAAAAAAATAGTAAAAAATGTAGACTGCTCAATGATAACGTAGCTTTTTAATGGTGACAGAATTTTTGAAATCGACATTAAAGTTTTTGGGTTATTTCAATACATACAAAAATCCAAAAATATAAATCCGTCTCCTTCATAATATTACTATAGATAACTTATGTGACATTTTTAACATGTGCTAAAATTACAATGTTTATTATTATATGTGAGAAACGTAATAGAACGTCATTATAGACTGTAGAATGGCCATTATCACTATTTACGGATTAAGTGGCCTAGAATTTAAACCTATATTCCAATATCATATAACAGTAAATAAAATTTATTAGTAAAAAGCCTTTTCTTTCAAGGTTTCCATTAGAGAAATGAATAGAACTTATTATCATATTTATCAATATTGAAGTATTCCAAAGGCTTCCTCATCAAGTGAGTTTACCCTGGCCAAGATAATTGTCCTGTGCATTACAGACAACGCAATTGTAAATGATAGTGTTATGTGTGTTGTTAATCTCAAACTACTTGCAGTCGCCATATCTTCATCTTGATGGCAACACTTCTTAGGAATGCCTTATAAATTAAAGATGTAATCTTTTACTTTCACTATTTTTATCTATACTAATATTATAAAGGGGAAAGATTTGTATTTTTGGATGTTTTTATGTATTGAAATAACTCAAAAACTACTGGATAGAATTCAAAAATTCTTTGACCAGTAGAAAGGTAATTTATCTGTGAATGTCATCGGCTACATTTTTTATTTCCCACTCACGATATTTGTCACAGATTTGAGTGACCTATTTACAATTATAATAGCAATAATCTGTATGTTTTCTGTTTGTTCGTAATGAGTCATAATCTCAATGGAGCAAGGCTTCGAAATGTGATATTCAATTATTATATTACAATAACGATCTTTCGTAGACATATTACGAAATTGATGTTAAGAATACGATTAAAGATAGAATTTACAATAATTCACAAAGAGCTGAATATTAATAGGGAGGTGCGAACACCACTAGAAGTGAATCCTGAAGTCATAGATTTAGTATTAAAGACGAGACTTTTAGGAAATTATTGTAGCTTCACTACTCAATTTTAATTGGGCTATAATATTACACCTAAATATGACTATTACATCTAAAGCGACATGAGATTTAACTATTAATCAGATCTTCTTTGTCGTTACAAAAAGTCTAAGAAAACATACTATGATATGAAATAATGTTTATATTACAAGCATATAAAAATAACATCTAAAGTTTATTGTAATTGCTTAAAAATTTATGTTTATTGATCAATTGAATTCGTGTAATTCAATCTCCAAAACATGAATTGTTCGAATATTCGCATTTTTGTTCTACGAGTAAACATCCTTACGGTGGGTTTACACTGCCAAAATACCTTTGAAAAATCTGAGATATGTTTTTGTACCTAGTATTTCGACAGCGGAAATGAAAGGATATATTTGTAAACACACACAAATTAAAATAGAACAGTACTTCCATAGTAAAAGCGATAATTACACATTTGAACAATCGAAATTATTAGAGCATGTACTTTGATGTTTTTTTTAAACAAGCCAATGGGTTACTGATGTCATTCACTGATGTTAAACATTAGTATTCTTTGAGCGTACTCTCAACTATCATATAAATTTACTTAAGGTTACATTGTTGTCTTTATAGTCCTAGTTCAATGTACCTTCTATGTAATAAAAATATTGTATGATTTTTGACAATTAAAAATCCTTTATTGATTATGTTTGTGAATATGACATAAATATCTAAATTTAATATTTTATTCTGGAATCCGCGCACCTATGTAAAACAAAACTCGAAAATCTGTCACAGAATAGGCAAATAGTTATTCAATATCTAACCTGTAGGGTCGCTTTCTGTAATGCATTCGAACGCCGTTTTGCTCCAGCTTTAAAAAACAAAATGATTTGTACTAAAACAAACTACCGTCACAGCCGGACGCTATTATAAAATCGATTCACATCCCTAATTTAACGAATAGCACTAACTGGCCGTCTATATTAAACATGTTAAAAAATAATGAAACTATTTAAAATTGGAATTCGAAATTCGAATTTGACAGCGCGTTACATGCGATGTGGGACGCGCGAACGGCCGCGGGAAACTGACAGCCAGTGACGCATTGTGGTCGTAGGCAGTGGCCACTCGGACGGTGGATGGCCATCTACAATAGCCGTGTGCGAAACGCGCCGTTATTAAATTATTAAGCCAGTCGCGACACCGTAACTTCTGTATATAATTCAACCTGATATACACAGAGCATGTGAAAAGACTATATAGCCACAACTTATAATTACGACTCGATTTCCAACAACAACTGTTTTTGTTTCATAGTTAAATAGCCAACTAAATAAGCCTTGTAAATCAAATAAAGGAATTTCTATGCAATAATACGATGAGATAATGCAGAGTAGCTTAGTTCCACATCAACTAATATCTTTAGCAAAACCTACCAATCACATTACTTGTTTCGTGACCATTAGTAGATTGGGTAGGTGCGAGTGACACAATTCATTGCATAATGTAATAAATATTTGTCAATTTTGAACCTTATTCTCATTCTCATAAGATTTATAATGAATTTACATTAAACATTAAAGTGGTTAATGGACGATTCGTGGTAACCAGTGTTACATAGTCTGTAATTGTCAAAGTTTACAGTATTGTTTTGTTTACAGTGATGGATCTAATTAACTGGTGGTTTGTTCGTCTCACGATCCGGCGCTTGTAATGAGTTATTCAAGGTGTTGTGACAAAAAGTTGAATGCGTGACTTCTGGTTGTTTGTGAATACAGAAGTTTTTCTTGGTCATTTTAATTGGTCTTTAGAACTCTGGTAATGAGTTATTTGGGAGTATTCTAATATTTCTGTTTGTTAACCATCCATTCAGGTCTAAAGACTTATCTTAAAATTATTATAACCAACGTTTTAGCAGTCACGTGTTAAACCGTGTCTTTACTCACAATCAATAAAAAAAAAAACATTTTTCTTACATTTGAAACGACTTTAAGATGCTTTCGATAAGTTAGATCTTCGTTTTATCTTATGAAATTTTAATATACTAAGTACAATAACATAATTTACTTTTTTTATAACAATGGCTGGTTGTATAATGTAGTTGAATAGATGATTATAAAACTAAGCGTTTGTATGAATTAATTTGTATAGCACAGCTATGAAAATCTCACTTTATATAGTTTCCGGTGTACATGAATTACATTTTATATGAATTATCAGTAAAATCAATATATGTTAAAACTTGGATTGAGTTAATCGTGCTAATTATATTCTATTCTAGCTTTCGTCCGCGACTCTGTCTGCGTGTAATGAAGAAAACAAAAGCAAGTAGGCTCTGTGTTCTTCCAGACTATCCTCTACATCTATGCCTTTCATCGAGATACATATAGCAGTTTAGGCTACAAACTTTAACAAAAATCCATACATCTAAAGATTCGCATTTATAATATTAGTAATATTTTCAATGTGACTGGTTGGATGACATAGTTTAGACGATCATAAGACCCAGTTAATTGAAATAAAAATACAATCAGTTATTTTTTTCTAATTGCACGCGGACGAAGTCGCCACTAAAAGCTAGTTTTAATAAATCTGATATGGAAAGTAGTTATTTTCATGTAAAGGATTTAAACACTATATTATACACATTTTTTGCTTCTACGTATATTAAAAAGCCAATTAAACTGCAATAACGGAAATTGATACTGCCAGACCTTGATACTAAGGTTTAATATATTTAAGAGACCTTAGGTTGCATTCACGACATTTATATCAGTTTTTCAAAGGTCAGAGACAACGAAAACTGTTACAAGGATCATTTTTTACCTAGAAAACATAGATAATTTACAAACAGAGTTTGTTATCTTAGTGCCGAATAATTTAACATTTTTAAACTTCGTTTCATGCAATGTAATTAAATTTCTAATCAAAGGATATACATTTGAGAGTATTTTATACAGTAACTAGCGTACCCTTGCGACTCCGTCCGCGTGGATTTAACGAAGAAACAAAAGCAAGTAGCCAAATTTCATCCAGATACGTTCAGCCATTTAGGCTACAATCTCTAACAAACATCCATCTAAACTTTCGCATTTATAATATTAGTAAGAAGTAAGATAGAATTGCACTAGAATATGATTCTTGCAATAATAAGTGATACATAAATTATAAGAAGGTCCAAAATCCAATAAATATTTTTAGGCTACTTTACAGAAACATGTTAGCGACAATCAACAGCTTTTGTATTTGTGTGAGTGATTTTGTAACTGTGTTATGAAAATGCAATAAATTTGAAAACATTCTTTGAAAACTCTGCGGGAGTTACTTAGAAATGGTAATGTATGGAATGCTAATAATTCAATTGTTTAATTTATACAGCCTGATGTTAGTACATCTAGACGAGTTGGTTATAAAAACAGATTCTTACGTGTTTGAATAATTATGCAAGAGAAAATAACGACTAATTGTACATAAGTTTGAACTAAATAGAATAACTAAATCTAATTTTTAATAAGAAGGATTTATTGCGAACTTAATTTGTTAATTGTCCAGTTTACAATGAGATATTTCAAATTAAATATTAAAACTCAAGTCAACAAAATAATAATACCATAAACATACATAAGTAACAAGAGATTACCACAAAAAAGCAAAATAAAAAAGTTAAGAAAAAACATAAAAGAAATTCTTACTGTCTCATGGAGCCCCATCTCCGATGCGGCAAGTTCTCTTGATGGCTACGAAAGACAACACAAATGTGAGAAGCGGAATTACGTGCACTAAAACAACACACATATAACAAAAAAACAAAATAAAATAAGGACAAATACTAATAAGCCCAATTATTTACGAAACACAAACAAACAACTATCAAAGGAAGCATTTTAATTTATTGCAATTTTTTCAATATTTCGTCATTCTTATTACACAGTTAACTGTCTTAAATTCATGTTTTGTTATATTATGAACTATGAATATAAGCCGCAATAAATGTAGTTTAGAATATTTGCTTTTATATTTCATCAGGCGTGAAGAATTAAATTAAAAAGAGCGGAACTTTAGATCCCGTCAAACTAGTTCCTGCAGTGATCTTATTTGAGAATATTAACTATGTTTGCATTCTTTGCCTTGTTCAGTTTAAAATTCAACATAACATTAATAGGAATTTACCTAGGGGGTGTCCGTCTGAGACTAGTTCTTGTCCACGAATGTCGGTTTAAAGGATTTGCTGGACTCCGTGATCCATTTTCTAATCTGTAACAATAAATATAAATAATAAGGACTAATAAATGGTTTCAAGAACAAATTAAACATAGTTTTATTTTATGTACACGTTACCGGAAATGTGTGATAACTAGGAATTGTATACTTTGTCTAGAAAAAGTATAGAATTTCGAAGCTGTTTTGGAAATTTGTAATATGTTTCAAAGATTATTAAATACACATACATCCTTGTAATTCCACATTTCCTAGAAATTGTATGAAATTCCAAAATCGCAATAAGCAAGGTATGAAAACAATGTTTTCTATAAATAAAATTGTTTAACAGCATATGTGGGTTCTCAATAATTCCAAGCGATTTTAGGAGTTATACATTGCCTAGGAATTCTGTACAATGATTTCATACATTTCCGTCAACATATACAGACAGTAATCCCTTAACTTTTTTACCGCTTTCTAGTATGGAAAATACCGAGTAAAGACATAACATTAACCGCCTTAGGGAGTCCAGACAAGTTACGTCTGACATTAAACATTAAACGTAAACACGGAAACTAAACAGTACATTGACCAGTATACTAGGAATAATAATTACTTTTTTATATTCTTCCTGTTATAACACTGCCAGATACATAAAAGTTGTGTCTTGCGTAGTGAGTGTATTTTATAGGCATATTAAATTACTATGATTGTAATAAGTAAAATTAAATCAAAGCTACCATAGAATCGTATTTAATAAAGCAAGTAAAATAACAATAAAATGATGATAAAACACATTTTTCATGGTTACATTTTCTGACGAAACTAGTAGATACAATATTTCTTAATTTCGTGCACATATAAGAAGTTAATTATGCATTTCCATTTCAAGACGTGGTTATTCAATGAGTTTTTACGTAATTTTAGAAAGTTTATAAAGGAAGCTTGACATGAGATAGGATGTAACATAATTTTTACTACCAGTAAGGATGTCCTGTTTGTCCATTTATGAGTAGCCAACAAAAAAGGACATAGGTTTTTATATGCTAAAAAAAAGGTTTAAATGCAAGAAGCGTATATTACCAACTCTGTCTAATCTTACTAGTATTATAAATCAAGGGACGATATTATAAATCAAAGCACAATATTACAACTGAAAGGGGAAGGGCTCAACGTATCTCACTGAATTTTAGCTCATGTAGATCAGTCTGGAAGAACACTGGCTACTATTTACTTTTTGTTTATTTCCGACGGAGAATGTCGCGGGCAACAGCTAGTAACGGTTATTTTAATTGAATAAGTTTGTCAGTAATAAAAAATTACAATAAGGGGAGGATCACATTGCTTAATTGCCAAGAAACTTAACAGCTGGCATGAAAGGTCTTTGAGAAAGGTGAGAACAATACTCGTATAGTATTGATCCGTCAATGATACGGTTTATAATTTTTTATGTTTGCTGCTTAAATAAACTGCTACTCCTTAAATAAGGCGACATCAATTAAACTTACGTGTTAGGTGCATCGCCATCAGCCTCGCCATAGCACTCGAAGTTCTCAGCATCTGATATTGAGTTGCCAGGACTGGAGTCCGCTGTCGGATCTGACTGGCTTGCTGATTCTGTGCCGTTCTGTTTCAACAAATATTTTTATTCACTTATGTTTTATTTACAAGACTTTAACCATTTGAAGTTATAAATTAAAAAAATAACAATAAAGAAATGCCTGTGTTACTCACTGATAACGTATCTTTGTAATGGTGAAAGAATTTTTGATATCGGCCCAGTAGTTTTTGAGTTATTTCATACAAAAATACAACTCTTCCCTCTTTATAATATTAGTATAGATAGTATCATTCTACGACCATTTCAATTCATATTTAAAACTGGGGAATTGTTTCGGCAGTAGTATTAGGAAATAGCTCTTTTAATGTCATACAAGTTTAAAATGTACCTGTAATTTTCTAGGCAGGTTTCCGGGCGAGGAGCGAGGGGACTTAGTTCTTTGGAACACGCTGGGAGCCATCATGACCGCCACAGGCGCCTTCAACTCTGCAAGAAAAAAAAAAACAACGTTAATAAGCAAATTATAATAAAGACAGTAAATATCTTTTTTAATAATACGGATTCAGACTATTCCAGAAAGCGGTAGTACAGACAAATTGTGTTAACCAATATTCATACCACGACAGATTTCAACTAATATATTTAGTAATTTGAAGTTTTAGATTGACAATAGTGGAAGTTATTTGATTAGTTGATAATTTTAAAGTATGCTTGTATTAGATTTAACTAGATATAAATTTTCAGTAGTACTTGTAATCCGTGTAAAGTTAATATACGATAAGTTATCTTTATGATAAATTGAATTTAATTATAATCTTTACGGACGTAGGTTATAAACTGTTTTTAATAATCATGTATGTCGTGATTCAAGAAATAAGTCGGTCTGAGACATTAATAACGTAGTAAAAGCAAATAGCTAAGTAGTACAGTAAATATGTTCATCACGAACTCGTGATCTTCAAATATAAGGAATTGTATGTGTGAGTCATCTTATTTTATGAGACTACTTGATAATTCATTTTATGTATTACTTTCGCCCGCGACTGCGAACACATGGAATTAAAAAAACAAAACTAAGTAGCCTATGCGTTCTTCCAGACTATACTCTACATCTATACCAAATTTCATCGAAATCGGTTCAGCCGTTTAGGCTACAAACTCTAACAAACATCCATCCATCTAAACTTTCGCATTTATAATATTAGTATGATAGAACATTTTAAACCTGAAATCGATTGTTTCTAAGGCCAAAATTATTAAAATGTTTGTTCAGCTCATTGATTGTTTATTTTTACATAGTTGATTCCCTCTGTGAAATAATTTATGTATATCTGTAACTCTACGAACACTTTATTCAGCTTTCAAAATCAATTACATCCTTTAGACAAGTCACATTGGAATTTACATAGACGAATCCTTCAAAAGTGACATACCATACAATGTTTGGTTGAGTAAACGAACGAATGTGATCAAGAATCTCGCGAGCAGCACCAGCCCTCGCCACCAAGTCTCCAGCACCCCAGCCACATCCAGATCACTCCGTAGCACGAACACTACTTCTGACATTGATGTCACTAGTGACGTCATTTGAAATACGAGATAACCCATGCGTAATCACAATGTCTTTCAATCTAACATCAATATTTTTGCATCTTTATTGGCGTGTTCTAACGCTGTTTATGGTTTTAATTTCGAAACCTTTTTTTTTCTAGTTCATACCCACATCCTTACACAGTGAGTTCATAAAGATTTTCAGTGTTTTAATATTTCAGTATTCAAATGTTATTGTTCTATATTCTATTTGTTCATTAGTATGTTACAGATTGTGTTCATAGTTTAACAGGCGTTAACCGTTTGTTATCAATGTAATCGATCCATTTTAAAACCGATTATTATCATTTCTTCAATCTTCTACCATGCCAACGTTTCTGATTTACATTTCACTCTCTGGAGCTCATAACTGCTGTCTAGTGTTCTTTAAACTGATGTGTACAATGATTAGACTAGAACCAATTCATTTTCACCTACTTTTCTTCAATTCTTTGATCGCGTCCACCAACTGTCGGAGTCGGAAGCCGTACTGCTGTAAACGCTTCGCTATCGCATATCGCAAACCGACTTAAGACACTTAATACCTCTTATAATGCCCATCGTCGAAACCAATCATAATTATATACATTTAAATGAAAATAATTTTCACAGTAAACCCACGTATCATTTACGCTCTCTACACAGCAATGTCTTTTGTTTTATGCCACTGTTCAAGATGTCTGATTTATACATAGTAAGATCATTAGTACAACAGCAAAGACAAATCAGAAAGTTAGATTCAGAATGTTAACTTCAGTCACTGACCTTATTGTTATCAGAATTAGAGCATTACAACACAAGCAGTTTTAACGCAGCGAAATTACCAACATGCTTCCTTTCGATTTGCGTAAGTCTGAAGGTCCTCTTACACAAAATACGTAGATTTTATCGCAATATTATCTATAATAACGAAATTCTTGTAGTCAGTTTGGTCAGTGAACTTATCCTTTTAAGAGACAACAGGATTCGAAACATGTTTATACCGGAATTACGTCTCATAGGAATTCTCTGCACGACTTTTATGGGTTTCGAAAACTTTCCTTAGCTTTCATCAGTTACTAGTTTTGCTGGGAAGCGTGGGATTTACATATTTGAACCCGCACATATAGATCTAACACTATTTTCTATTACAATATCACCTCACTATCAACGTCTATTCAATTCAACTATTGCATCTCAAAACCTATTGTACTTAACACTAAAAAAATATTTTTTTGCCTATACGAGGCATAAAATTCCCGTTTCTTGGGGCCGAGACCGGCATGGCCCGTCCGCCGGTTGCGACTGCCGGCCCTACTACAGTCGCTGGCTGGTTATGCAACACTAGTTAATATTACCGTAATATCGATAAACGGTTAGTAAGAAAAAGTAATCGAAACTAACTGTTGCGAACCCCCGACTAGTATGAAAAAAGTGCCTTTTACGTTGTGAAAGTTGTTCTAACGAAATTGTTTGAACTGTACAAAAGAGTTATATGAAAAAATATATTGATGCTTTTAACACAAAAGTGGTAGACAGAGGTAGTTTTACTAATTTCGATATCAATGTAAACCTCATTGTGAACTACAGGAATGAAAATATCAATGGCTCGTGTATATGGAAAATAACATAACCTACTTCCTTTTGCTGCTTTAAAAGACTTTATAACATTGTTCAAACTCAGATATTGGATTTTAATAACTAAATATCTCGTATTCGAATTTACGACTCCACTTTTGCAGTACATTTAATCACAAGACTATGGACATTTCAGTTTTTTTACTTCTTAAAATTTTGATTGTATTAAAATGCATTGGCCTCTAAAAGCAAGCGTTGCGTTAATTGCGCTTCTCGCATGATCAGCGGAATGTTTACTCTCAATAGTTTAGCGACTTTTTTATCATTCTGCTTGTATCAATCTCACAAGAACTGACTACCTCACTTCAGCTTGCCAACCGTGTACCTTTCAGAAGTGTAATTTGCAACAAATAGAGCGAAAACATACGCTGTCTATTATAATACACATTTGCATAACTCGTTACACATTTCTATTATAATAGAGTATGAAAATATATTCTTTCATAACGATTTTAATAACATTAACGTTGCTCAAGTTGTTTACCGTTTGAATTGATTACAGAATTCTTGAGAAAGAAAAACTAAAACTGTGTTAGAATTATAATATTTCGTTTCATTGTCATTTTAAAACATAAACACAAAATAATATAACATTTAAGTTATTACATCACTTATTATACTAATATTATAAATGCGAAAATTTAGATGGATGGATGTTTCTTAGAGTTTGTAGCATAAACGGTTGAACGGATTTCGATGAAATTTGGTATAGATGTGGAGGATAGTGTGGAAAAACACATAGGTTACTTGCATTTGTTTTATTTTTAATTCCGCGCGGGCGGAGTCGCGAATGAAATCTAGCAAGTCAATAAGAATAATTAACAACTCATAATGACGATGTACACTTAAATTTAAACAAAAACAAAAGGCTAAAGATTCCCTTGGAAATAAACTCGAGATATTTAAGAAAGCGTTTAAACAATCGCATTGCATAATACATTTAGGGTCAACAAACTTGTAAAGGATCGCCGCATTCGGGGAAGGACCACACCCTGACAAAATATCGACGGACTAGTATATTCTACATTATAATAGACACATGCCTTAGTGAAGAATTAGTATGAAAATCCTCACCTAGCACACTTGAATGCGCTCTGAAAGCGTTGACATTTTACTTAAATGTTCGTTATCAAAACATAGATTTTGCAAATAGTGATTAAAAAAGCAGAACTTTCAGCGCACCGTCTTCAATGCGGGCACTCGTGCAGTCAACGACCCCGCTTGCGCAACCTCCTCTTGCACTCCGATAGTTTTCAAAACAAACCACTTTTCAAGCAATCGTTTATAAAAACGTGACGGAACAATTATTTTTATTCTACAGATTAGGAATGAATGCTTTTGCCCGTTTACGGAATTAAAAAGTTGATTTTGTGTGGACGAGTAGCAGATGTTGCATAAACCTCTCATTTAAGAAAGTACATTGACCTTAATGAGTTACGTGACATCAAAAGATTGTCATTCATAAAAACTTTACTTTCATGACCTCTTTCTTCTGAAGACATGTGAAGTTGTGATTTTTAATGTAGAGTTTGAGATGCTTAAGATTGCATGAAACTTTTCCCTTCTCTACTCTACTCCTGTTTTCGTTTTCGTCCGAGTTTTCGTCCTCCAAATAACTCTAACATCAATGTTAAAATCGTTATATCAATCATCATGCCCTCCTTGGATATATATCAATAATCGATTAAACTGTCATTAAATTTACTGGTAGTTAGTAATTTTATCGCCATAAGAGAAAACGAAATATCTTTTAATTCCAGTAAGGTTCAAAACTATTCTTAGTATAATTCATATTTTTATAAATTAATGGAAGTAAAAGACGACACAGTGAGTTAATAGCTACCTATTAAAGCACGTGTCACCTTGGTTTATGAGAAATCGATCAATGTGGGCAGATATGAATTACCCGACGTAATAATGTGAAAGGGTTATGTTTACAAATATGGTTTACATCAAGGCTTCAACTGTTATATTTAAAATATATAATTTGTAACTGTTTTTGTACAACCGCTTTGTGGCATAGTTTTTATTGATCATCATTTCCCCTGCCTTATCCTACTCCCGTAGGGTCGGCGCACCGGGTTTTTGTCCTCCAAATAACTCTATCATCCGTTACCTCAGTCATCACTCCCTTCTTGATCATATCACCTTTCACGCAATCCATCCATCTCTTCTAGGTCTACCTCTACCGGTGTATCCCTCTACATTCATAACTAACGTCCTTCTTATTACATGCGATTCATCCCTTCTCATAACGAATAGTTTCTATTAATGATTAAGTTTTTCAAAACTAGTAGTCCGTTTTATTTGCAGTAGTGTAGTAATTTCATACAGACTTAATTCAGCAATCAAGGTAGTAACTATACTCATTAAATTATTCTTACAAGACTGACGAATAACCAATAAAATAAAATACATTTTATATCAGTAGAAGCTCACGTTAAAACAACATTAGTGTTTAAAATAAAACTGCATTATTAAATACGACAAACGAATCCTAATAAATATTCGCATTGTATTAGTATTTACGTGCGTAAACAGGAGACGATCCCAAACCGGACGGATGTCAGTACGTGGTTAACATTCTTTGTGTTTTTTTGTTAGAGCCACTTGATGACGTCAGCTACCGGTGCAGTAATGAACGTTTATTTTAAATATAAATTTTCGAGATACTTGCCAAAAGTTTAGGTCACCTTCCACGCCAATGTTACGATATCCACGTATCTGTAAAATAGAGGAATTTTCTTAACAATATTTAATTGAAAAGGAATGTTTATTAAAAGAGATTAAGATCGAATGGATTTATCTTCTTAGATATTTTACAATCGTATTTTACTTGGTATTTAAATCATTTAAAATTAGGATGGATTACTTTACAAACACAATTTTTAAACACATAAACAACTCGTTCAAGGTTAATCGATTTTGACGTTGACATATTCTGGTTGGTTAGAGAATGGGTAATATGTAGTGTAGATTATTCGACTCGATTAATACCTACAATTAGTTGATTTTCTGACCGCTAAGGTATACAATTTACATTAATGTATTTGATTTTTGTGTAAATCTGATTTTAAAAACAGAAACATTTTTTAATTTCTACATTGTAGTTGATGCTTCATGCCATAAAATTCGGAGTTGGATTAAATGTTTTATGAAACCGTGTCTCCAGCTCAAGAGGTCGTGTCAAATAATTTGTTTCGGCAGTGGAAACTGACGAAATTAACGTGGAGACGTAGAGAAAGCAATCAGACACGTCAATTGACCACAATAGCGTGCTGTTTGAAGTGTAAATCATTTAACACGTGAAAATTAGAGTCACGAACGTGTTAGATTCTAGACAATTTTACGATTTTTGTAATACGTTTTTAATTGGAAGAAAATTAAATAACTACGATCAAAGAAATCATAGATTCACTTTCTATACTAATTTTATTTCTGCGGTACTCAGTGTCATTAAGTCTTACTTAGTATACATTTAGTTCAAGAAATCTACACCAAGGGTCTCCCTAAGTAACCAATTAAAGACTCTCAGTGCAGTAATGCGTCTTTTATAATCATGTTTTTCAAATGTTCTCTAATTTTAAGTACGATTCGGATCACGTTTAAGAAAGTTAAAGGAAAAGAATATTGATTTCAAAAAACATAAAGGAAATGCGATTATTTTTTAATGTAACGACCATTGAAGCGGTAGTATGATGTAAGTGTAACTGTACTCAATTGCAGCGAGTAATGGAGAGTAACGGATGGTACAGGCAGTTTGTATCGCAATACTCTGATTACGATGCTCCTCGTGACGAATTCGTTTCGATATAGAAAGCCAGTCGGAGGTAAAGTTGTAAATAAAATATTAATTTCCGGGCACAATGTTATTTCAAAATATTTTTTTCCGATGAAATCGCATTTTAAATTTATTTCTTAATGTTATAAGATGAGCGCTAAAGTTTCATAAACTTTATAGTAATAATTGTGAATTATTATACTGAAAATTACAAGTATAGTACAATTATATATATCAATATATATTAATTTACTTCAATAAACCACGGCAAGTAAATTAAATTTTCCATTATAAAATTACTGTAAACAGAGTGCTTTTAAAAAAATCAAAACCAAAGTATCACATGTAGAGAAAGAAGGAAAAAGAATGTGTGAAGTAAAGCGATATTCCGCTAATTTATAGCAAAAACATCACCGTTGTGTCTTCGTGCGTAAATGAGTGATTCAGTACGCTAGTGATCAACGGTTGCCTACTTTACTGTACTTTACGCTATTATAAGTGTTCTTGAATACTGTAATTAGTCCATATTTTTTTAATACCATCAGAGCATTTCGCGGTGTCCCACGTGACGAACTTCGCCACATCCAAACTAAGTATGTGGTAAAGAGTGACGTAAATGACGGGATAATGTTATAATAAAAAAATCTGCTTCCTTACAAAATACACGAAAGACCAATATTCTCAATAAACAAAACACTAAAAAGTATCGAAATAATTCCGTGATTTCATTTAGTGATTAGACCTCCCTTATTATAGCTGTTTTGTCTATATTATACAATTATTAAGTGATTATCTCCTTTCTTTGGGAACTTCGGTAAAAAAATTATGCTCGTTTCGATGACCTTTTTTCGTGTATACATTTAAAAGCTGCTAACTATTGGTTACTGTTCCGCGTCATCGTTTTAACGCGTAAAAACATTTGTAAGACTTCAACTTGTAAAGTGCACCGATAACTTCCGTGATAGTACCTTGTGGTTCGAAGACTAACGATGTCAGAATTTTATGACTTAACCGACATATTTGTATAATTAAAATATTATGTTATTTAATTACAGCTAATACAAAAAAGTCAACAAAACTTCCGCAATGAACATTTAATTCCGTGGCTTATGGCACAGGTGGTCCAGTTTGGCATGCTTTCACTTTTGCATTCCGAGCATTTTTTGCTAAAACGAGTTTCTCTGAGTTCTTAAAAGTATTTTCTGTAAA